CCAGTACCAATTAGACTAATAGAAGGGTCCTGGTACTCTTGGGGAGAATAATCGGCGCTCACTTTGTTTGCGAATCTCATCTGTAAGACTAAGAATTCCTCTCATCAGATCCTCATGCTTCTGATCATACTTCGCTTGTATCTTCTCCAATTCTTCTTTATCTTCTCTCATTCTCACTAAAAAGTTATCCAATAACCCATCTATATCTTTGACAGCTTTTTTCTTGGACTTCTTGGTTGGTGGAGTTGCCAAACAATCAACTGCGCCTTTTTCACAATCCCACTCCTCCTCCCGTCTTCGAACAAGCCCATGCATTGAATCTTCCCTCACCCTCCTCCCATCAAGCTCTAGTTGGGCTGCCTTTTCCTGAACTACTCTTCATGTAGCTGGATCAATACTGTTTTGGTCCCACCTAGTTGCGAGTTCAACCATATTCTGTTTGAACTCTCCAAACTCTTCATTTGTCCCACTTTTCTGGAGAGACCGAATTTCATTTTTCTATTATAGGTATATTAGTATTCTATATATATAATCTTTTTATTATGTTAATATGCAGAACTTACTAACCTTATATATTTCAACAAGCTTTTTAACCCTTTGGCGGCAAGACTCTGAGCTGCGTACAATTGGCTGTGGCTGTAACCTCTGAAGTATCTCTGATACCTCAGCCCATTTTGCAACCGTCCTCCCATACCTACAGTTAATTGGGTCTGTTGCCAGAACCTGGCAGACAAGCACAGAATCCATTCAGCCTGTCCACTTTGCTGCCCTTCCAGCTCCGCTTGCTCTATGTCTTCCTCTACCTCTTAGCTGTTTGGGTAGAGCGGTAGCTGCTGCTTGTTGTTGGGCTTCTGGTACATGGAGGACCGAAGTAGGAGAATCCGGTATGATGATTTGGTCTCTTTCAATAGGAGATCGATTCTCATCCATTTTGTTGATAATGATCGGTTATTTCAGGGGTTGTTCTGTCATTTCGGGAGTTTTTCTGTCTTGCTTCATTTTTTCTTTTCCATCTTTTCACACTGGTTACCCTGCCAGATTCTCCAGGTGTCTAAACCCATCTTTTGGACCACGGCCAGGTCCCCACACAGACCTAGGTCGCCAAGACAAATTGAATAACCTATGTTCCTAGATTTAACTGGCACCTAGGTCCCACTGCGCAAACCCTCTATTCCCTTCAGGCCGTGTTCGGTGGTGTAGCGGCGTTTGATTGGGTGTCCGAGGGAAGGGTGCCTCAGAAGAGCCACAGGGGGAACAGGCCTGGTAGCGAGTTTTCTATAAATCATGGACATGATGATGATGATGATGATGGTTGAAATGTCGCTACGTTCTCGTGCATTTAGCAAGTCAGTCTTCAATACCAGTCCCTAACCAGTTAGAGAGATAGTGTAACGTTGAACGGACTCACATTGTCGTCGTCGGCGATCGCTGCTTCCCAAGAGTTAGAGTTGAACAGTCTTAAGCACTTCTCAAATAATTATCCCCTACTGTACTCGAGTACTTATACTTGATAGATATATTTGTCACGTGCCCTATCTGGGCATACTATGATACCGGTATGATACAGATACATACAATAAAATTTTCTCAGTATCATAGACCCCCGTGACTATGGTAGTGGATAATATGGCCGCGTCTATGGTAGCTCAAGACACGCAATTAAATCAGGTGCGTGAACGCGACGGGTGCCACTGCCTTCTACGATACTTAATTTTCGGGGATAGAAGGGTTTACGCGCCAGTATCTACTTGTAGCTGGCGGTAAGCACAATCAGGACCTATCATAAGTTAAGTGCTAGAGAGAGTTTGCGCATAATAAGATCAGGATGACTTGGCGGCCGGGTTGGTCGAGTATGATACGGTACCGGTAAGTTATTTGTCCAAGGGGTAAAAAATACCACCTCACTGACCAGAGCCGACAGAATGATCAAGATGAAGATGATGATCAAAAGATAAGATCGATCAAGCCACCTGGTTCCTTTTCCACGTGATTTTGGGCTTCCTCCTTTGCAACAGCACTGCCTCTCCCACAAACTCCATCCCTGATCTTTAAACTTTTCTTCGCCCGAGCTCGAGCTTTAACCCACTAGGACTATACGATCTTCGACGTGGGATCAAGAAAATGGATTTTCTCAAATTGGCCGTAGCTTCGGCTATCTCCAAGGGGCCTCCATTCCCCTATACTTTCGGCGATAGGGTCGATATCGATAGTTCCATTTGGAGTCTCTACAACGGAACCAAGAGGGTATTCACCGTCGTTGGGCGGGCCATGGTCTCATGCTGAAATAATCTAGGAAGACGGTTCAAATTGCAGCATCTTTTCATTCGAGATCAACGATTCTACTAGAAGTAGACTACCACTTGCTAAAAATGCCCTTCGCAAGATGCGCACACTTCGACACCCGGGGGTAGTCAGAATTATAGACTCGGTCGAGACGGACACCTATATATATATCGCTACGGAGAGGCTGACACCGTTGACCTGGCATGTCCGGAGGGAAGCTTTGAATACGGAGACCATCAAATGGGGGCTTTATAGTACTGCTGTATGGCCCTTTCTCGTTGCCTCATGATTATTAATGAATATGTGTGTTCGCCCCTGACTTGCCGAGGTAATAGATCACCTTGAAATTTGTCAATGAGGAGGCCGCATCTATTCATGGCAATATCCGAGCCTCCTCGATATATACCGCGGAAAGTGGTGAATGGAAGCTTGCTGGGTTTGAGGTTCTTAGCTCCTTAAAGGATGATGATCCGGTCATATATGTGCGGATAATCTCCCTACACCGCAGGGATCACATTGCAGTGCTAACGATTGCGGTAGAGGTTTGGAGGTTTATTGCCGGACTCTGGGAGATACGCTGCGCCTGAGATAGTGAAGGGCGGTTGGGATACTCTGAGGAAGTGAGCTGTGTTTCTTCCACAGAACTGAATCTAATACTAACCTATACCCCCCCCCCATAGCCAACCAATACACGTCGTGGATTCTTGGAACTTTGGAACTTTGATATATGAGGTCTTTAATGCTGGGGCATTCACGAATAGTGAGAAACTATCACAGGCAAAGGCGATACCGCCAAATATGGTACCGTCATATAAGCGCCTTACCCAGCAAAACCCAAAGACCAGGCTGTCAGTGGCTCATTTCCTAGAGCAGGGAAGCCGCAGTAGAGCCTTTTTTGATACACCATTAATCCATATTGCACAATTCGTGGAGAATATGGGTGTCAAGAGTCAGGACGAACGAGAAGAATTCCTGCGGGAGCTCGAAGAGACTGGTGATCAGTTTCCGGAAGACTTCTTCAAAGCCAAGATATTACCGGAATTACTGAAGAGTGTCGAGTTTGGAGGGGGTAAGTTATGCTCCCCGTTCCGCCAATCGAGCGCGGGGTTGAAAGGTTATTGCAGGTGGACCAAAGGTTTTCTCGGTGGTTTTGAAAATTGGGGAGAAGCTTTCCGACGAGGAATGGGAGTCCAACATAACACCCTGCATTGTCAGGCTATTCGCCATTCCGGATCGAGCAACTAGAGTGTTTTTGTTAGATAATCTACCGAAGATGATCGGGCATCTTTCGAACAGGGTTGTTAACGATAAGGTATTCCCGGAGATGTTGACTGGGTTTTCAGATGTTGCGCCAATAGTGCGAGAACAAACCGTCAAAGCTGTGCTAGTGGTTGTTCCGAAGGTAAGCGGAACCTCTCCAGCAGTTCTGTATTTTGCGAGCTAACTTGGATCTGGGTAGCTTTCGGATCGTAATGTCAATGGCGATCTTTTAAAATATCTCGCCAAGACCCAAAATGATGAACAACCGGGGATCAGGACAAATACCACAATTTGTTTGGGTAAGATTGCGAGGAATCTCGGTCCTAATGTGAGGATTTTTCAATCGCCACAAGCTATCTGGAGGGATACTGATGCTCCGTTTAACAGACCCGCCAGAAGGTTTTGACTGCTGCATTTACTAGAGCCCTTAGGGATCCTTTCGTTCATGCTCGGAATGCAGCATTGCTGGCATTGGCCGCAACCGCAGATGTATTTGACGAAAACGATTGCGCCGTGCGATTGCTTCCGGCAATCACACCTTCTTTAGTGGACAAAGAAAAGTATGTAATAGGATACGCCTGGCGTTCTCATGGAAGGAGTTGCTGGATGACCTCACTGTAATTAGGCTCGTCCGCACTCAAGCCAACAAAACTCTTGACGTGTTCCTTCAGAGGATCAAGACTCTCACGGCAAACTACCCAGACACGGCTATGCCCAGCACCACCGCAACCGATTCTGTGGCTGCAGCTCCCCGCATGGGAACTGCCCAAACCGACGAATCCTCCTGGGCCGGCTGGGCAATCAGCAGCTTTACAAAAAAGCTCAGCACTGCTAATGGAGAAATCGAAAGAGCAGCCTCCCCAAGCGCGCTAGGTAACGAACCTCGGCCCGCCTCTGCACCTACTGTCGCCGCACAAACCCAACCCAGCCTATCTGCGGAAACGAGAACCGCCTCCGCCTTAGCACTACACAGAAAAGCCCTCTCACCAGCAACACCCGCTCACTCCAGCTTCCTCGGCGACGAAGACAACGAAGATAACGACCCGGACGCCTGGGGCGACCTAGATGAAGAGAAACTTTTTGACGTGGAGGGCTCGTCGGGTGGTGCCAAACCCAAGTCAACAAATACCGGATCGCTCGACGGATGGGGAGAACCGGATATCGCCTCTATGGCTAATAAATCCAAAAACCCACTGCCTAAAGGCCTCACTAAGAAACCTACAGCACCGCGAATAGGCGTTGGAAATGCCTTTTCGAATGCGAAGGGCAATGTCATGGCGGCGAGGAAGCCTCTGAATAAGACGACGGGTATGAAGCCTATTGTTGCTAGGACAAACCCTACTCCCGCGCCAGCGGCTAAAGCGGAGGTGAAGGCGGATGCCTGGGACAATAATGCAGATGGGTGGGGCGATGGGTGGGATATTTGAATTTTGATTTGAACGTGTAACTTAGGAATTAGTTGTATGTGGTAAGTCAGCCCGGTAATGGTAATGGATTAGTGGAGGGATTGGGAAATGTGTGGGATTACACAAAAAGAGAGGGGGAATGGGAAAAACTTGAGGTCTGCTTGGATTTAAATTTTGGGGTATAACAGTGCCTTGGGATAGAATGGTTGGTTGTGCAGTTCATACTGTTTCATGGGATCTCACTCATGGTGAGCTGCCAATAGAGGTCGTTTGGTAGCCGGACAGGCCGAAACACAGCAAAAGCCAGGGTTTTCGAGCCATCATCACCCAAGAACCATGTGGAAACAATATAGAAAGAATTCGAGAACGATTTACTACAATAGCACCCGCATGAAAGGGTGTGGGACCCTTTCCTTCCATTCTCCTACTCTGGGCGGAAGCCTGAAATAGATATTATGCTTCAGGCGTGGTAATTCTTTCATTCTTTCGTTTTTCTTTTCAAAGCTGGGTTTCAAGGTATCGTGTTGTCAGGGGTTGAGGAGTGGTAGAGGGCTGTTTGGTTGAGTTTTCTAGATACAGGGCATGCGATATCTCTGTATGATACCATAGGTTGATTGAATATTATCCGGGTCGTGTGGGGGTCATCACTATCTCCCATCTACTTGCCAGTTTGTCCTGTCCAGCTGTCTAGGTATCTTAGCTGCCCGGGAATTAAGGCCTTTGTATTTAGCGGTAGATTAATCACACCAACATCCAGCATAACCCAACTCAAAAACCCAACTCGAAAGTCACTTGATAAAGCTTCTCAGGGTAGCATTATTCTAGCCGTACATTCTACGAACCCTCCCATGCACCAACCCCAATTTACCGGGAAAGTGCAATATCATCTATCCTCAAAATCATCTTACAAGTTTCTGCTGCCAATTCGATGGCACTAGTGCTCACCAGCAACGGTTGCAGGACGCTCTCGTCAACGATATTGGTGACAGCGCCCCTTCTAACACTAACCCCTGCAGACTTCTCACCCTTCTCGTGTCTGTTCCTGAGCTCTGTCACAACACGGATGCTGTTAAGGCCGGCGTTTTCCGCAAGAGTTGTGGGAATGACTTCTAGGGCTTCTGCGAACTCTTGCCAGCAGACCGACTCAGTGCCTGTAAGAGCAATGGTGGCTTTCATCAATGCGCGGGAAACTTCAATTTCGGGCGCACCGCCTCCAGCAATGAGGGCCCTAGGCACTTCGTTAGCAATAAGTAATAAGGGAAGGCGGGTTTCAAAATACTTCTTCTTTACGAGACATCTGATGACGCAGAGAGCGTCGTGCAAGGAACGTTCAGCCTCGTCAAGAATCATGGAGTTGGCTCCACGACACAGAACTGAGACAGTTTGGCCAACGCTCTTGACGCCAGTGACTTTTACGATGCGCGCTCCCGCGGACTGCACTTCCTCGACGAGGTCTGCTGTTCCAAGCTTGTCGTCGGTGAAAGAGTCAATATCGGCAATGGGCTTGCATCCGGCGCTCTGTGCACAAACCAGAGTTAGAAAATACGCCCGTGTGATCAGAAGGTGGAGCTCCTGGAAACCATAACATACGAACCTTGCAGATAAACTCAACCTCATCACGTTCAATATCCTTGATTGCTAGAATATTCAATTTGGCCAGGAAATGTAAAGAAAGATCGTTGACAGCGTCCCTAAGAATCGACTTCTGTATGAATAGAACGTTACACTTGGCCCTCTTAATCTTCTTGCACATATTAAGTAAGTATGTCCGTTCTTCCTTCAAGATCTTGTCCATTTGGCGGTAGTCATTGACAACGATTTGGTTTTCCATCTACCAAGCCACCAATTAGCCCATGTTGACCTCTCATTAGTTCTAACAATTTGGGGGGTGAGCAAACATCAGGTTTGGGCGGTGACAATTGAAACTGTATCAAGCCAATTCTCGCCTTCTCCATTCTCGATGGGCCTCCGGAGCCTTTAAGAACATTCTGTGTCAAAACGAGCCCATCCACAAGCTCTGTATCATCAATTGTGCCTCCAACCTTTTTAACTATACGGATATTATTTAAGTCGACGTTTTCAGCAATGGCGGGGTTGATAACTCGTAACACGGCATCAACAGCCATCGGTCCGAGGAGAGTAGAATATTGGGAAACAATCTTGCTAGAAAGTGAGGTGCTCGCTGCATCGAGGAGTGACTGGCGGTCTGTAAGTGCTACGGGGGTTGACATATCGGTGAGGATTTCAACAGCCTTTGCAGCGGCTCTTTGGAAGGATTCTGCGATGACAGTGGGGTGGATGCCTATCATCCAATGTTAGCCATCTCACTCCGTATACTCCTCTGGTGGGTATATTACCTTTTGATAGTAGCTTCTGCGCAGCCCCCAGAAGGCTCCCGGCAATAACAACCACCGAAGTTGTTCCGTCCCCAGCCTCAACGTCCTGGGCGGCCGAGAGATCTACCAACTAAGAGTATCTACAATGAGCAAAACCCACGAAGAGTTCAGTCTCCAGCTTCTCCGGGGAATATATATATATACCATCTTCGCCGCAGGATGCATTACAGCCATATCTTTCAGGATAGTATGCCCATCATTGGTAATCAACGTATTCCCTTTCCCATTCTGAATCATCTTGTCCATTCCCCTCGGGCCGAGTGAAGTCTGTGAAGCGCTATCAGTAAGAACTTCTCCATCATCGATAGAGCCTAATAATACCCTAATAGCGTCGGCCACGGCTGAGTAGACATAATGGGTCAGTTATGATACCAAACACATTCGATGAAAGTGACGGCGAAATACCTCTCGCAGCAATGATATTTGCTGTTCGCACAGCCATAGGCTTCTCCTTCAGACTTGATGTATTAGCCATGACCGGCCCGTAAGATGCAGTAGCTGCCATTTCTGTGTGGTGTTGTGGATTATGCAAATCGTAGAATTTTAATAAAGCTATGATAGAGGGGAGTTGAGGGGCACTGTTTCCATGAAATCCCCCGGAAGATCTCTGCCTGGAGATAAGATGGTGGAGATAAAGTAGTATCTTGGCATGATCCCAACGCATCACTGTAAATAACTCGTGAGTCTTGGGTACTGTACAGTACAAGTACCGGTTGGCTGCTTCTCCTATCATATTATCATACCTGGGAATTTCTGACGGTCATTAAAATATATGATAGACCGTGACTTTTCTAGGGTGTCTATCTTCTTTTTTTTTCGCAGAAAATATCTATAGGAAGGAGGATTTCGTAGCTGTAGAGCTGGTTGGATAAACGCGACAGAGGCCAAAGGATCTGATACACTAAGATTGGGGGTTCGGAAGCTATTTTACATTTCCACAGACGTCTTGGAACTCAGTTTTCTTTTTTTTAAAAAAAAACCCAAAATCATAGCGTGTACTGAACCTCCCCATATAAGAGCCCTGACCTCGGAAGGCTGAGGGAGGGAACAATCCGTCCCTACTACTTTACCCTGTTCAGGGGAGGTTAACGGACCAGAGTGA